GGGGTGAGGGACACACAACCTCTGATATTTCTGAAGTGTTAGAAAAATCTCGTCCTTCTAGTAACCCTCTAAAACGCAGCTGTTACCAAGCCAATCAAGAGCTGGAGCATTATGACCTTCTCCCCAGCAGAGCAGAGGGGCTAAATTTATGAGCTAGCCTTTGATGTCTGCAAGCTTCACGTGGTACAAGACCTCCTGCTTTGATATTACTTTTAAAAGAGGAGACGCAGAAGGTGTGCCATGCACGTGTCCCAGGGAGCGCATGGATCTGGCCGCCTGCAACTGCAGGCACAGGGACCAAGCTCTAATGTGGCTACTAGTCCTCAGAGCTCTGCTTCAACAGAGAAACCGTGACCAAACGCATCTCACCCTCACCAGCTTCTCCCAGACCAAACCCACCTTTGCCTGTGGAGAACCAGGCACTCACAGCCCTGAGTATTCCCACAGGAGCTCCAGACCTGACCTCAAAGGTGAAGAAGACCCTGCCCTTGCCCGTCCCCCAGACCCAGGCAGTGCTGGTCTCTCTCCTCCCAGCGACCACAAGCCATGGCAGGGAAATTCCCCGACTTCACGGGGCCACGGGAGGGGTAAGGAAGCCCGTGTCTGCCCCGCCAGCGATGCAACCCTCCTGCGCGAGCTCTCCATCGTCTGCAACACCAGCATCTTCCACAGCAATGGCAGGAAGGTCTAAGCCGCACGGAGGGACCTGCTGTGGGCCCTGGCACGCTCTCCTACCTTACGCAGCACCTGGGCCATGGCTTCTCCTATCCATCCCAGCATCCCCACGGCTTTGCCAACAGGCTGAGCCCTTCTCCCAGGGCCCGACAGAGCTGCCAGCAGGGACAGGCTCCTCTCCATCCCCAAGCTCACTTCGCCTCCCTTCACTTTTCCCTGCCTCCCCTCCCCTCTCCCGCCTCCTCCCATGGGGAGTTTCCCAGCAGCTCGGTAATTAGCATCATCATCACCAATGCTAATAACGCCACCACAGCTCCTGCCATCCAAAGCTCAAACAACTTTACAGCCATCATCACGCCTCTGTAACCTCCCCAGGGTAGGCAGGGAAGCGGCATTACCCCATCACACAGATGGGGAAGAGGGAGGTAAACAAGAGGCAGTTGGTGGCAGAGATGGGCAACGAACCCGGGAGCTCTGACTCAGGCGCTGCACCCACAAGGACATCGCTGTCCCAGGGACCTGCCTGCTGCAGTAAAGCCCCTTTGGAAGGAGGTCAGAAGCTGTGTTGACAGCAGGACTTATCCAGAGATTGCATCACTCAGCTTGGGGCCTGGGATGAGTTTTTTCCTGGGCATCCCTGCGCACAGCCTCAGTTCCCCTCTGCAAAACGACCGTGGGAGAGCAGCACGCAGGACTGAGCGCGCAGTCTGAGTTCACGCCTTCTGATGGGACAGCGAGTATTGTGGCATCCCATAAAAGCACCTTAAATCAACTATTAGAGCTCACCTCTAATTAAGGACTTGCTGTTTACTGATGGATTAAAGAGGATTTTTGCTTTGAGCATTCACAAAATGAGGAATCTGGGGGGATTCTTGCCTGAACAGCCTGACCTGGGAAAGCTTCTCTCCCATTTTGGATGGGGTTTGCTACATTTGATTTTAAAAGACTCACATGGATGGGAATTACAGCTTTTCAAAAAAGCCCACCCACACTCCCATACAACAGACTGACATGGCCCTGGTAGCCCTGACAGATGGGGACAAACACAGAACACAAGGCAACGGGTTGCTTCGCTTTTGGCAAGTACCTGCAGGACGACATGGACTTTAAACATTCTGAGGTCTGGCCTATGCTACAAAGTCAGGCTGGCATCACCGACAGCTGGGAGCACCAACACAAAACAAAATTCACCTGAAGTGACCCAGCCTTGTCCACCAGGACATACTGCAGAGACATTCTTCTGGCAAAAGAGCCTTTCTGGAGGGTATTTCATGTGTGGCGGGACACGGTCTGAAGACAACCAGCTGGTGTAAGCCATGTGCCGGCAAGGCTCTGCTGCCTGCAACAGGGGTGATGGACCATTTATTCCTATGCCTGGACAAACAGCGTGCATGCAGCACCGCCAGGCACTGCAGGGATCAGGGCAGAATTTCAAATACCTCCCGAGCCTCTCCAGCTCTGGCTTCTGGGAAGCTCCTGGATTTCTGAGGGTGTTTCAGAAAACTTTAGGAAAGGGGATATAAATACAGCTGCCTTCACTTTGTGGATGCACAGGCAGCAGCAAAACCTAGTTGGAAGCTCCAGCCTCCTTGGCAAGGAAGGATGGCAGGATGCTCCACCAAGAGCGATGCTGGGAGGCTTCAGTGTCCCACCTGCATTTTGCCAAGCAAACTCCCCTCTGCCATTTGGAGCACCTGCCTACAGAGACCGCAACCCCGATCATGCCACGTAACTCTGTATAGCTACTGGTCTGAAGAAAAACCCAATAAAACACTTGTCACTGTCATTTTTATGGGATATGGACTATGGTCCATTAGATACCGAATAAAGGACATTCTTTAAAACGTAAGACAGGCAGTCACCTTCTCCTCCAGCCACGAGCACTGTTGAGTGCATTGACCTATTCTCTTCCGGGATAAAACGGGACACGTTTAGTGTCTGTAAGGAGGAAGATACCCTTTTTTCCCCATATACTGCTGCTCTGCACGTCCTCTTGAATTCACTCTATGTTGTTTCACTACCATGTGCACCAGGCAAGCCTGGGAACTGAACTAAAAATGGACTCTTGGGGCTCAGCTCACAAATCCAGAGCAGACAGGGAGCTAACACACACACACACACACTGCAAAGTCAGGGCACACAGGGAAGATGCCTTGGGAGAAAAACTGGTGAAAGAAGATGATGGCAGCAGTCAGGCAGAGAACCACCACTCTACAAGAGCAAACCCTGGCCTTTGCATCCCTGCTGTGTGGTCCCCCATCCCCTGAAGGGTGGGAGGACCAGCGTGTCCCTCGCCTGCTCACACACTTCCATCAGAGTCAGGAACCAGCACGTACCCCAGGGGTCTGAAAGGCACCTCCTGCGACTGGAGAGTGTATGTCTACACTCGTTCTTTCATGGACATTCACCAAAACCCCGTGTGTGCTGTCACAAGGTCACTGGTAGTTGGCAATGTCCCATGGGGCCTTTTCTTAGACACAGCTTATGTACTCACAACTACACTGCTAAGGAATGCTTTTTGCCTTGCTCTTGATGGAGAATGACTTTTGTTTGGTTTCTGGCTGAACGTCTGAGTTAAAAATACAAGACTGTTTCTGGCAGAAGTGGGTTTTTTTCTGCCTTTGTATTGCCTCGGATGCCCCTGTGCTGCTGTCTCCTTTCTGGCTCAGATGAGCTTTGTTTTCTTTCTAATGATCATGTTTGCACCGGTGAGCAGTAGGAAATGCTTTTCCTATTAGACCATTTCCACGAGCACTGTTGGGAATGAAGAATGAGCTCAGAGAAGTCTAAAAAAAGCCCAGCTGGTGTAAAGATCCTGTCTCCGGTGGTCAGAGAACTGAAAATCAGGAATGTCTGTGGTCAAAAAGGGATGTGTATGTACGCACATGCACACAGGTAGAGCAGGATATGTTCTCCCCGTGATCTGCAGACACGGAACAAAGGACTCTGTGCTAGAAACACTTTCAAGCATCCCCACTCTACAGACAAGCTTCATCCCAAGCTCTGCAGCTCAGACCCTTTCTTACCCCGCATGAAAATATTTTATTTTGCTTTTCTTAAATGCCAAGAAAAAATAGGCCTATCTTTCCTGGCTTGGATTTATTCCATCTGGAATCACTGCGTGATCACAGGACTGTGATAGTGTGTTACAGTCTCAGTATAAAGTAAGAGCTTAAATACTTTCAAGCACCCATGCGATCATTAAATCTTTCCTATCATGCTCCATATCTCTTGGCAACAACAAGCTGAGGACTTGGGGCTTCTCACTTGAGGTCACCAAGTTCAAACATCTCCAAGCCCCCTCCCATGATCCAGAAACATGCCATCATTTGTGGGTGTGATCCCTGTCTCCAGCACTGAGAACAAAACCAACACAGCTGCAGGAAACCTCCCCAGTACATAGTATTTGCCATGTGCCGCAACATAAACATCAACACAACTGGAAGATAACAGCCTAACAAACAGCTCAATTGTTCATGCTAAAGACATCAAAAAGGCACGTGGAGACCTTTCCAGGACACGGATCCCCACCGCCTTCTGGGGATCCAAGCACAGGCAGAGCCAGAGCTCTTCCAACACCCAACACAGGACTTGCTGCATGCCAGTAACCCATAAATCACTGACATCAGGGTCAGCTCCTCTTGCCAGCTTCTGCTCTTTAGGAAGCATGCTCCACCTAACTTGCTTCCAAAGAGAAGTTCCTAGAACATGATTTTCTATTATCTCTGCCTAATGATTGATGAATCACATCATCACTCTGGAGACCATCAATGTGATCAGGAGATGAGAGGGAACAATAACTAAGGTCCCAGATTTGGCAAAGGCAACTAGCATTTTTAGGTGCTCATCAAAAACCTGAAAAGAACTGTGTTGCTTGAAGGCAACAAGCCCACTCTTCATGAACCCCAACAAGCCTGACTTGATCAGCGTCCACACAGCGAGGTCTCCAAACAGCTGTGTTCTTCTGGAATTCAAGGCATCACATCCTGACAGTCCCAAATGCAGGAAAGTTCAGGTCTAAAATCTCATCCTTCAAGAGAAGGTTACCAATACCACCACTAAATACCAAGCTCTCATAAACCAGTTCATGTTGGAGGTTGGTACCGTTGTTCTGCTTAATGGACAGTGAAGCCAAGGCTCAAAAAGGCAAAATGCCTTTTTGCCTACAGTTGCCCAAACAGTCAACAGTAAAGCTATATGCAGGCTCTGTTTTCCAGCCAACAGGCCACACTGCCACCCATATCAGGTTAGAAATGAAGTAAGAATGAACACGCTATAAGAAACTCCCAGATCAGCACTGGAGGAAAAAAAAACCATCTTCCTACCGACTGTGACACCTGGACTCGGACTTCACTGGTATCCAGTGGCGATGTACTTGACCCCTGGGACTTTCTCTCTGAACTGGATTGGTGCTCCCGGTATTTCTTTGACCTTGCAGGTAATGACAAGAACTCTTTTCCAGAGATCTTCAGGTCTCCCATGTGGTGGCTGTCCCCATTCTGGTCCTTGGGAAAACAAGAAATAGTCATTGCACAAATTGCTTGTCTCAGGTTTATGTGGAGATCTGTTGGCAAGTATCCACAGAACAGGAGACACACAGAAGCAAGAAGTTAACATGGAGTTTAGACGGTGTGATTTGCCACTCATGATGTGCAGGGCTGAATGAGGACATTTTGCCTATCTCCACAGCGGGTGATTTTAATGAGTGGAGAAGAAGCATGACCCCAACAACACAGAGTAGTCAACTTATCCACAGGGAGAAGTCAGGGGAAAGTAGCATCCTCTTAAAAAATCCAGGTATGGAGGTAGAGGCATGGCTGGTTTATTTACAGGCATAGGGAATGATGGATGAAAGGTCCAGAAGCAGTCAGTGCTGCTGGTGATTTCTGGCAACTGCACTCATAAAAGCCTCTTCCAGAGTAGCAAGCTTATCTTGCCCAGAATATCAAACTCTTGGCACAAGCCCCTCCACTTGCTGCATCTTCACTTCCTCCCAGGACCCAACCATGCTGCGAGCCCACACTGAACCATGGATAACCTGGCCATGCTCCAAGGAACATGGCTACACTAGATGCTCCACAGCATCTCCCATCTCTAGGATTTGGTTCCCAGCACACATGGAGCATTGCCTGCCTCAGTGCCTCCCACTGACTTAATGAAGAAGAGGAGCCCTTACCCAACAGTTTCCTAAAAGGCAGATCAACATGAATGGTTGGAGTCCCATTCAGCTCTTTTGCCAACCCTCATGCTACCAGAAGCACGTGGGGACCCCAGGGTAACATGACTAACTACAGCAGATGGTTACAAGCAGTCCCCTGTTCTCTCACTGCTGTCTTCCTTTGCTCTCTTAAAGGCTTGTGCTCAGTGCTCCCATAGCCATGCAAAATATAGGATTATCACCCCCATGTAATGCATGGGGAAAATGAGGTGACAGAGATCACACATCTCCTGAATTCTAGTTTTTGTCCCTTCTCACTGCAGCTCCTCTCTTTGCTTTTCCAGGCCCTGCCTTGCGCCTGGCTCCTCCTTTCTCACCCCAAAACACACACAACTCTATCTGTTCTCTGTCAGAAGACTTGGGTTAATAGCCCTGCCTGTATTATCACAACAGCCTCATTACTGCTGTCATGCAGATGAGGCCCTTGTACAGAAGCATCAGCAGGAGTATTCCGTGTTTAGCTCCAAAGACACTTATTAAAGGCACCAGGCACCTTACATGTTACTGGTGGGAACAGAGTGCCTAAACCTGCTTGATGCTTTGGGCTTCAGTGTTTCTGGGCTGCAAACCACCCTTTTTATCACACACAAAGCACTGAGGGGACTCCCCAGGGTGTCCTCACTGCAGCAACTACATGCAGGTGAAAGAAGCTCAAGCACAGCTCAGGACATGACCCACGGGCCCACAAGGTTGGGATTTTAGGGCACATACACCAGAAAGCCAAGAACACTGAACAGGATCTGAATTCACAGCACACCAACAGCACAGTGGGAGGCTGTAGCCAAAATTACTTTTCCATTCCTTGCAATGGAAACAGGAACAGGGAGAACAAGTAAGAAGAGATTCATTTCCCTAGCTGCTATTGATGGGACCAACTGCAGCCAGGCCAGTGTCCACATTTTGAAAGGCTGCCACAAAAGTAGATTTCAGAACTGGAAAGAAACTGCCTTCCAATGCCTTACTGCCTTAGTTAGAGGCCTCAAACTGTTTAGTTCATGACAAAAAGAATAGATGACTCAATTATGGCACGTAAGTACCTTCAGGGTAAAAACCAGCATGCAATAAAGAGATTTTTAGTCTGGTAGAGAGAAGAATAAACAAGAACCAATGGCTGGGAGCTAAAACCAGAGAAGCTCAAAACAAGGAATAAGGCACAGGCTGGAGAGAGCAGGACGATCAGGGAAGCAGTGTTCCCGCTGTCTGCTGGGGCATTCAGAGCTGACGCGGGTGCATCCTGACAGACAGACTCTGCCCAGACACACAGCTCCGTGCAGAGGCATTGGACAAGAGTTCCTGGCCTGTGCAGTAACAGGGGTCCCTGCTGACTTTGAAGGCTATCTCTGGCAGAAAAAAAGGGCAGAGAGGGTGAGACAATAATGAGAGGGTTCTGGAGACATCACAGTTCACTCCACTGATTTATTCTTTACAATCTTATCACCCTCACCATAGCAAGCTTGACGCAAACAACCTTCTCCCATGACTGTAATCAGCTCTCCCTAGGAGCCGCAGGAGGGGAGAGGAAGGGGAATTGCATCCAAAACACTCTTGCAAGAGCCCCATGGCAGCACCAGTGCCTGCCGCTGGGCAGACCCAGCGATCCTGTGCAGGATTTTCTCAGAAACTTAAATGATCCCCGTAGGTGGAAAGGTTCAGTGCCTCCCAGCTGACTGTAGAAACAGCCTTTGCCCTGGGGAGACTAAGAAAACGCTGATCTGCTCGGATGTGACATTTCCAGCAGCGAACCAGAGCAGAGGCAGTCCCTAGAGCCCCTTGGAACAATAAATACCCTCTGCCTCCTGCAACGCACCATCTCCTGCTTCTGACCTCTCCTTCCCTGCTTGTGCTGAATGCAGCTCTCCGCTGGGCTAATAAGGCACTGAGATTTGCCACCAGCCACTAAAGGGGCTAAAATGCTAACGATTATCCTCTCAATAAAGGGCTGTTTTTTTCAAAAAAGCATAGAAGTGGCTTTTTCAGCTTTCAGTTGTTAAGTGCCTTTTTAGTTAGACCAGCTGTTCCTCTCCTCCAAGCTCTCCAGAAACCCTCTTTGGTTAATCCCATTGACTCCAATGATATCTGCTAATTGCATACTTCCCTGCAAATGAAGCCAGTCAACAAGCCATTACAGGTTCCTACTGATACTTAATCTTCAAGGCCAGACACCTTTGCTTACCTTTTCAGAAGGGAACTTCAGGAGGTCTAAGCTGTCCATGCTGTTCCTTTGGAGTCTCTTTGGCCTGGCTCCTGCAAAACAACGCACTCTCGCATCAGGAGGGTGTCACTTACCGACAGCACTAATGTCACACAGATAAAATTCAAACCATGGCAGACCCCCTGCTCCTGTTAACTACAAAGTCAAAAGGACGGGATGTTGCAGCTGTGCCGTCCTTGAGATTCAAATGTGTTTTTTTCTCTATTGTTTTGGGTCTTTTTCAAAACATTATTGCACCACAGTCAGCAACAGCTAGGGCTGCATGAAGCTTTTGCTATTGAACAAGTAGCCAGGTCGGACTACGACCCTGATCTCAACTGAGGTCTCTGGAATTCAGGAGTTACAAACGTCACTCTAAACCACAAGTCATGGGACTGGCATTGAGAAAAATCATAACAAAAATATAGTTTAATACATCTGTGGATTTGTTGCTTTATCTTCATGTTTTTAACTTAAAGAATGTATCTGGGACGCAGCTTTGAGCTTTTCCCTACAGTCACAAGGATGAGAAAACTAACTGAAGGAACAAATATTTTCCAACTATTATAGGCCCAGCCTTAAGTGGAGCAAAACCTTGCCCTGAACCTGACAGAGAAATCAAAATTTGGCAGCATTCATGTTTATTCGAGATTTCATAAAGTTCATTTTAACGTAGTATTCCAGCAATAACAGAGGGGGTGAAGCACAGTTCAGCTCCGACTCCTGCTTTCCAGACTCTCTTTACCTCCACATCTCCCTCCAACCTGCTCCCAGCTGCTAATGCCTTGCTCACTTACACAGCCAGGATTTACAAAATGGCCTTGGGATGCCTTCATCACATCTGGGAAAACTTCAGCCCTTTCACCCTCCTGCTCCCTGTCCCTGATCTTTCCTGAAGGTTCAGTTTAGCTGATCACCACGTGACATCCCATCCCAACACCACCAAACAGGGCAGAAATGAAAACTTCGGACTCAATGTCCTATGACAACTTCCAAGCTTCAGGGGAAATCCTGGGGGAGGGTGAATGAATGCATGTGAATCGAAACCCATCCCCATGCTGAGCCCTGAGAACGGAAACCACTGAGCTTTGTGTGGTTCCTGCAACAGCAACCTTACCAAACCTAAAGATTCCCCAGTTTCCCACCACCACTTCACAGCACCATTGCTTATGTTACGGTAGTCCCCATGGTCCCTGTTCGAACCCAGGGTGCCAGCCACTGAGCTGCTCACTGGACAAACTTAATGAGAGAGAAGGCACAAAATTCATAACCAATTCAAGACTGACTACAAGCAGAAGATGGTGATTAAATGGAAAAAGCCACCAGGTAGCAGGGATTCCCACACTAACACACATCCAGCTCAGCCAGGGCTCCAAATGCGACCACAGTTGTATCTAAACCGCACCAACTCCAGAGATACCGCTGCTTGGAAAAGTTCAGCCTCGCTTAGATTCATAAGATATAAGACAAGCTCAGATCAGCTGGGACTTTGCTAAGGGTCACACACATACGTCACATCTTACTTATAAATGACCTAAAGCTAATTTCACTGCCCCTCACTACCCTAAAGTGATTTACTTCTTGCAGCCATAAAAGCTCAAATCAGCAAAATATTTCTGCATGTTTCTGTCTCTCTACTCCAAAAAGCACACTAGCACCAGCTTCGTTTTAAGATGACCTCATTACTAGGCTTGTAAGTTCAGAAGGGGCTGACATCAGGCTTTGTGAATACGTGCAGAACAGATACTGATGTAAATACGCAGAGAGCAACCACGCTCCCACCAGCAACTCGTGGGCATCAGCACGGAGGAGATGGCTGTGCAGCAGCAGGGAGGCTGCCGCTGGCCCCAGGTCTCCTCCCATGCTGCCAGACAAGCAAAAGGGCTTTTGGCTGTTGCCACATCGGTCAGGCAGGAGCTCAGCGAGGGGAAGGCAGCGGCGGGTTGTGCCCGGTGGCTCCCGGTTACGCACAATGACATTCTGGACATGGCTCTCGGCTTCCCTTGGAATAACCTATAGTCTTATTTGTGGAGCAGTGAGGTGGGTCTGGAATAAAAGCCACCTACAAACACTTAATCAGATGGTATGTTTGGGTTTCAAAGCAATGCCCGAGAGGTGAGGCCAGCATCTGGAAGTGAGCGTGTGTCACAGCAGCTTTTAACGGCCACTTCCAGGAAAGCAAGAAAGGAGGAAAGTGTGTCTGATTAGATAAACACACATCATTTCCAACAGTCTAAAGAGTCGTTAATTATACACCTCCATCCTCAGGTGCTTTTGTACATTTGCAATAGCATTAAACTGCTGGCCAGAAACCATTAATCTCTGACCTGAGAAAACCTGCCTTCCCCTTTGTTAATTTAATATACGTAGTCAGCTGAGACTACCTCAGCAATTAGGGCACGCAGAAGAATTTGTCTTTTTCAGTTGTTTTGATGCTGGTGTTCCTCTATTACTATGTGGATTTCACATTCAGTTAAACTAAGAGAAGTCAGGAGTTAAAAACTCAACTTCAGAGCCATCGAACTCAGCTATTTTCTTCCAGAAGAAAACACAACCAGCACCGGGGTCAAATGCTGGTCTCACAAAAGCCCATGGTTCTGCCATCCCCACACACCACGAGCTGTCCCGCAGGTGGAGCAAGCAGTGCCATTAAAACAAGCAGCTAGCAGAATTAAGAGGATACCTATCAGTCAGGGCTATCATAAACTGGATCGACACAGGCAGCAATTCCCACCACACATATGGGAGCTTCTCCCCTTTACTCTGCAGGCTCGGTAGCCTGCAGCATACCCATCTTCCAGGAGAGCAGAGAGATTTCCATACTCACAGGCACCCCACGACAAAAGGAGTCCCATTAACTTTCCGTCTCTGACCAGGACATTCCCTCAGATGGCTCCAGATGTAACTTTCAGCCTCCTCCAAGTTATTTTTCCCAGAAATACCTGCAGCACTGCCTAATACTCAGCAAAAGTTCAACTCTGCCTCTTTCTCCCCAGTGCCGATCAACAGCAGCAGCAGCCGTGGATGCAAAAGATTGACCAGCTGAAAACGTGGGTCTGTTGCTCTGGAAGGTTTTTTCCTCTCTCTCCAGTATTTATTGGCATGTTTACCAAGCCTGCTGCAGAGTAACGGAAAACCTCAGGGGCATTTCTAAATGCTCTCTCTGTCTTTAAGGTTTACTGAGGTCTCTAATAGAGCAAGTTGAAACCTTCTTGTGAACATCAGCTGAGCAATGCTACTGACTAGCTGAATTCATGCCTTGTTTTCCTGGAGCTCCTCGGATGTTGTTCTTTTCAGTGCTCAGGCTCGGGGTTGTTGTTTCTTTTTTAAATATTTTTTTTCAAAAATCTCTTCCCCCCCCCCCGCCCATGATCTCAACGCCACCATGAACCAAGGAGTTTTGGTTTTGTTTGGGCTTTGGGGTTTTTTTTGGGGGGGGGAGGGCGAGGTTTAACTTTTTGCTTTTGCAATTTTGTTCCTGAGGAGAGTTTAACGGTTTTCACATTCCTGTATTTTAAAACTCGATGAAGCAAGTCACCTCCCTCCCTGGAAGAGAGCAATGGACTCCAGGGAGGGGAATTTTACTGCAACAGAGAAGAGGGAGATGCTTGTGTTCTTGCCCGTATGCATATGAGACATCCTTTCTTCCTATAGCTCCCTCACATCCCCCCATCTCACAAATACTCCCTGTTCTTCTGTCTTTGGGACACTAACCCAACATATCCACATCAGATAGCCATCTTTTTTCTCTGTCTTGCATCTCCACCCTGCAGAGATGGGGATGGCCCCTCTGCACATCCTTGTGCTACCTGTGATGACATGGATGCAGGAACCTTTATCTACAGTCTCTTCTTCACAGCCAGAAGTTTGGTAGTGCATGCTCCCTACTTTCCTTGGGCTTTTTAAGCTGATCAGCATAGAGCAACACTGGCCTCTGCACATCTGAGAGAGAGGCTAAACACCAGTGCTAACATGGTGCACGCAGCAAGCACAGCATCTTTCCCCCCATTCTTCTCCTATCCCTTTGGTATCTGTTCACCAGCTCCGTACTGCCCAGAAGGACTCTCTTTCTGTGCCATGGGGAGGCCCTTGAACAGGCAAGTCCTCAGATTTCAAGGTGCAATTAGAAGAGAAATGCTCATGTAGCAAAAATTCTCTAGCAGTACCTTGCTACAAAGTGAGCTGTAGCCACTGAAAACACAAGGAAGTGTTTTATCTTAGGATGGTGATGGGGTCACCCCATGTAATTCTGCAGTAGGGCAAGGCTGGGTAGACAGTGTGGGCAGAGTTTTGTTCCTCTATGGACAGTCTCCATATCCGACTGGCGCTCCTGAGATTTCAGAGTTGACAAGATCGAGCAGAACATGTGTAGCAGCGACTCAGGGAGCCCTGCCAGGAGCTCTCATCAAGTTGACATGTGCTTTGATAACTCCTAGGCTCTCCCCCATCTCCAGCAGCTTGGAGAGCTGCCTACTCCATCCCTGTTTGAGACGGAACAACCCCCCCCCCCCCCCGATGCAGATCGAGCGACAGTTCTATTTGCAGGCCAGGAACACGCTGTATCCCTCTGGGGTAGCTGTACCAGATGAAGCAGAATTAAACCTGACAGTGGACTCCACAGAAGACCAACAGGGAAAGGTTGTACGGCCAACATCACCCAACCCCTCCCGCCGCCAGCGCTCCCAGCTGAGCAGCGCGCACAGCTCAGCGGCAGCAGTTATCCCACAGAACACAAGCTTTGCACCCCAAAGAACACAACAAATCTTGGCATAAGCACTTGCCGTATTTTCATGAAAAGGTCATTTCTCTCTGGACCTGTATTAATTGAGATACTGACTTGTCTTTTGGGTGAGTTCTTCCAGTCCAGGACATTGCCTCCCCACATTTGTACAGAACCCAGCATTTCAGAACCTTGATTTTAGCAGACAACTCTACAATATTGTTCAATATGATTAAATTAGACCAGCCAGCCAGTTGTTTGGGGTGGAAGACTGGTCTGTAAACCCTACCAAGCTCAGAAGTGACAGTGGAGATACAGTCCAGCAATCTGAAT